CAAAAGAGTCTTCATTGTGTGTCAGTGCTTCAGTTGGAGTGGATCTGTCTGTTTAAATGGGAATTTGGAGACAAGAAGATGACTTCTGAGTGAAGACTAACCCAGAGACACTCCAAGTACAGTCTATTCTCATACTCTGGACCAAGTTTGTTTCTGGTTGGATTCTCCCATTAAACTTGAATTTATTGAGCTAAATTTGTGTTTCTTGCACATTTTCCTTTGAGCTGCTTTTAAACAAAAGAGGTTCGTGAATGGAGTTTAGCATGGGATTTTTGGCACAGTTAAGGGTTCCTGTATTGTTGTTATAATGAGCTTTGAATGCGGTGTAGTGGTTAAGGTGGTCATGCTCAATCGCTGGTAGTGCCATGTGGTTGTCTCCCGGGGCAGTGGCTGGTATTTCATCTTCTACATTGATGATCTCAATAGTTCGTGTTGGCCCATGATGCTTATGTAGCTGGTGCTGTTTACGCAGTTTGTAAAATGCAATGAGCATTACCGCTGCCATAAACGTGATAGCCACAAAACAGCCAATTATGATCTTTGTTGTCTTCATGACATCATCTAAGTCCTTCATGATGTTTTCCTGTAACGTCTGTTATTGGAATAGTGAATGTCTTCTCTGTGGAGCGTGTACTGCGTGGGGTAAGTGATGTGGTGGAATATGTTGTTCCCCATCGAACTGTAGGAGTTGGACCAGGTTCCTTCTCGGTGGGCTTTATCTCCTCAGGTGATGTATCCATTGTTTCCACGGTCACAGTAGTGAAATATGTGTAATCGGTTGTAGCCGGATCAACGACAGCAGACACATTTAGTGTAGCCGATGCTGTTGTATTTCCAGCTGAGTTTGTAACCATACATGTGTACTGACCAGTGTCCTGGACCGTCACATTTGTGAAATTTAATGTCCCATCATGGAGCACAGAGATGCGTACTCTGTAAGAGCCATGCGTCATCAAGGTTCCATTTGGTGTTAACCAGTTTACAGAAGTCATTGATGTGCCAGTTCTACATTTAAGTTCAGCTGCCATGCCTTCAGTTACATTGAGGTCAGTTGGAGGCTCCACTATAACAGGTGCGTAGCAAGTGAAATGGCTCTGATCTAATTCTCCAATGTATCTTGTTTTCAAGTTTGGTGGGGAATGGCATCGAGCACAACAGGTTGTATTGTTCGGTACAGTCTCTTTTAACCACCAACTCAACCATAACACATCACAATTGCAGTGCCAAGGATTATGGTTAAGGTGCACTCGCTCCAGGCGGTGAAGAGGTGTAAAAAGGTCATGGGGAAGAGACATTAAATTGTTATGAGAAAGATTAAGCTCCTCCAAGGATTTCAAATCGTCAAATGCATTGCGCTCTATTGTTGTAACATGAGCATGCATCAGCCACAGTTTTCTAAGGCTTGTTAACCCTTGGAAAGATCCTGGTCGTATAATTTCCAGACGATTTCCAGACAACTCCAGTTCTTCCAGCCGGACAAGTGCTGTTAAGTTGGGGATATCTTTTAAATTGCACATTCCTAGGTTTAGGTATCTCAAATTTACAAGACCTTCAAAAGCAGCTTCAGAAATGTATTCCAGTTTCTTGAGCTCCCCCAGGTCAAGTCGTCTCAAAGATGGAACCCTGTTGAAAGCATAGGATGGGATACTCTCAATTGGATTATTTCTCAACCACAACTCCCTCAGCTTTTGATAGATATTCAAAAGCTTGTGTTGGAACAGTTGTCAAACGATTATCAAAAAGCTCAAGTGTGCTGAGATTTGGGAGTCCATTGAAAGCACCCACCTCAATCTTACGAATAAGGTTTTTGCTGAGCTGCAGAATCTCCAGATGGCGAAGGTGTTTGAAAGTGTCTGTTTTGATGACCTGAATTATATTTTCCTGAAGGTTCAGGTATCGCGTATTGACAGAGATACCCTCTGGCACTTCAACCAGTTCTTTCCTTGTACAGGCAACTCTACTGGCCTGATTGCTGCATGAGCAGACAGCAGGACAAGATGTTGGAGATGTACCTCCCAGGGCCAAAGAAGTGACCCATGAGATAATTAAAAGTTGCTTCAAAATCATTCTACAAATCTTCAAACCAGGCATTCCGTGGGTGCAATGATGAGTGACCATCTTCAATTTTCATAATTTAATAATATTCTTTTGGTGTATTTTTGCCTTCGGTAAATACCTAGGAGAGCAGACAAAACAATATAAAAAAAAATAATTAATTTTAAGCATCATAAACCAAACAGAACACAAAACCATATATTCACGTACATATTTATTGTAATTGTACAGTACAGGACACAGTAAGAGCTGTGAAGATGTGGAATGTTCTGCCACAGGAACTATTTCTGGCCAGCTCAGGGGATTGCTTTAAAAAAGATCTGGATGTATTCCTAAATGTTCAAAACATAACTGGATACTAACGTTTAGAGGTAATAACACCAGGAGGGGTGGATCCAGGAAATATCCCATCTGCCTCCTGGGGGATCAGGAAGAAATGTATTTTTTCCCCGCAGGAGCACATTGGATTATGCTTTTCTGCAGGGTTCTGCCTTCATTTGGATCATCTGTGGGTGTATGATTTTGTATATGGAGGTTTTCTAGTTATTTATTCAGGTAACAGGTCTGTTGGGTGAACTAGATGACATCTTTTTCCAACCGAATTTACTATGTAACAGGCTGAATAATCATAAACCCTGGGTTATAGGCTGATGCCTTCAGGTGATTGGACACTGCTACACATGGCTGAGCACTGGGCACACCACCCAGGTACAATGTGAACCCTACCCCACAAACTGAGCCCTAGGTTTTTTGCTAGTGTTCCTAAACCCCTATGGAGAAGTTTTCTGTGCTTGACCATTTGTTTTCATTTCAGATTTTTCAATCAACTCCTCAGTGCCTTCTGCTACAATGGAAACAGTGCCTCTGGAAGAGTGTATTCTTGGTAGTGCCTTGGAAATTGTACCCAGACTATACACTGCAGGGATGGCCTGTGATGTTGCTTTTGGCACTGGATCCTGCTAGGGTGTCCACCTTGTCACTGAATGCAACGAGTGTAGCTAGCCACAAACTGCTATACAAGTCCAAGGCCATGGTTCATTCCTGCAGTTCAAAGACTTTGAAGACTCCTCTGAGGTTATGCCCATCATGACAGCTGAACCCCTATAGTAACCAGTGGCATGGACAGGTACGACAGGCACATCCTTGCTATTAGACCAATACTACAGCTTATTCACGTTCCTTGAATAGTATTTTCTTTGTGCAAAAATTATCCAGCCATGCATTTGAGTTTATTCACTTTTCTTTATCGTACATCTTGGGACACAGAGCAGGCTATTCATGACTATGTGGGTTATAGGCCACCTATAGGTGAATGGACACTGGACGACCAATCATTGAGAAGGTCTTCCCCTATATAACCCCAACTATACAGGAAGTACCTCCGTTTTTTTGCCATTGTTTGTAAGGTGGTTTCTAGCTTTCATCTCAATCAGGACATAGTTCTGCCTTCATTCTTTCCTAGGCCTCAGTCAGCAAGAGAAAGATCTCTGCATACCTTGGATGTGGTTCATGCTGTAAGGGTCTTCTTGAAGGCGACAGCACAGGTCAGGAGGTCGGATGCTATATTTGTGCTGCCAGAGGGGCCTAGGAAGAGGCAGGAGGTACTCTGCCCACTTTTAAGTGATCTCTGAAAACTATCTCTTCAGGGAAGCCTATCCTGCCAAGGTATGCAGAGATCTTTCTCTTGCTGACTGAGGCCTAGGAAAGAATGAAGGCAGAACTATGTCCCTGATTGAGATGAAAGCTAGAAAACCACCTTACAAACAATGGCAAAAAAACGGAGGTACTTCCTGTATAGGAGGGGTTATATAGGGGAGGACCTCCTCTCTGATTGGTCAGCCAGTGTCCATTCACCTATAGGTAGCCTATAACCCACATAGTCATGAATAGCCTGCTCTGTGTTCTGAGATGTACTCCAATAAATCTGATTATAGTTCTATCTCAGACATGCAAAACCTACCAGACAAATTAATGGTACAGTTCTTAGAGGCCCCAACTAGGAATGATGCTCTGCTGGACCTGGTAATCTCAAACCATGCAGAGCTTATTACGAATGTCCATATAAAGGAACATCTGGGTAGCAGTGACCATAACAGGATTTCATTTATTGTTAGCTGTAAACAGCAAGCACATACGGGAAAAATAAAAATGCTCAATTTTAAGAGAGCTAATTTTCCAATGCTGAGATCTGTTCTCCAAGACTTAGACTGGGAGGGAATATTGGCATCGATGAACACAACACAGAAATAAGAGTTCTTCATAAAGACTGTATGTGACCACACTGCAAAATATATTCCCGTGGGCTAAAAAACCTATGTGGCTTATGGCCAAAGTTACAAAAGCTATAGATAATATTATTATTGTTATTATACAAGATTTATATAGTGCCAACAGTTTGCTCAACGCTTTACAATATAACGGGAGACAATATAGCAACAATACAGTCCAATACAAGAGGGTTAGGAGGGTCCTGCTCCTGGGAGCTTAAAAACTAAGAGGGAGGGGCTGGTGGTACAAAAGGTAGTAACTGTGGGGGATGGACTGGTAGAAGTTATAGAAGATTCCGTTAATAGCTGAAGACAGGATAGGCTTCCCTCAACAGATAGGTTTTCAGAGATCGCTTAAAAGTGGGTACAGTAGGCGATAGTCTGATAGATTGAGGTAGAGATTTCCAAAGGATAGGGGAGCCTCTAGATAAGTCCTGGATATGAGCATGGGAGGAGGAGACAAGGAAGCTAGAGAGCAGGAGGTCATGGGAGGAGCGGAGAGGACGGTTTGAGTGATATTTTGAAACAAGTTTTGTGATGTAATTTGGGGCAGAGTTATAAATGGCTTTATATGTGATTGTTAATGTTTTGAATTTTATTCATTGGGCAATGGGAAGCCAGTGGAGGGATTGGCAGAGAGGGGTGGAGGACACTGAATGGAGGCCAGTGGAGGGATTGGCAGAGGGGGGTGGAGGACACTGAATGAAGGCCAGTGGAGGGATTGGCAGAGGGGGGTGGAGGACACTGAATGGAGACCAGTGGAGGAATTGGCAGAGAGGGGTGGAGGACACTGAATGGAGGCCAGTGGAGGGATTGGCAGAGAGGGGTGGAGGACACTGAATGGAGACCAGTGGAGGGGTTGGCAGAGAGGGGTGGAGGACACTGAATGGAGGCCAGTGGAGGGGTGGATTGGCAGAGAGGGAGAGGGGTGGAGGACACTGAATGAAGGCCAGTGGAGGGATTGGCAGAGGGGGGTGGAGGACACTGAATGAAGGCCAGTGGAGGGATTGGCAGAGGGGTGGCAGAAATGGAATGGTTAGTAAGGTGGATGAGTCTGGCAGCAGCATTCATGATAGACTGAAGTAGGAATAGCCTGCGATGAGGTCGGCCAATGAGGAGGGAGTTACAATAGTCAAGGTGAGAGATAACAAGGGAGGGAATAAGTTGCTTAGTGGTTTCAGAGGTTAAGAACGGGCATATCTTGGATATATTGCGGAGTTGAAGTCTACAAGATTTGGACAGTGATTGGATTTGGGGCTGAAAGGACAGATGGGAGTCCAGGATGACACATAGCACCCTGGCATGAGGGGAGGGACTGATGGTTGTATCATTGATCTTGATGGAGAAGTCGGGAGGGGACAAAGGCTGGAGGGAATAGTATGAGCTCAATTTTGGAAAGATTGAGTTTGAGGGAGTGGAGTGACATCCATGCCGGCATGTCGCTTAGTAGGTTAGTAATGCGAGAGGAGACTGAAGGGGTGAGGTGTGGAGGAGACTGAAGGGGTGAGGTGAGGAGGAGACTGAAGGGGTGAGGTGAGGAGGAGACTGAAGGGGTGAGGTGAGGAGGAGACTGAAGGGGTGAGGTGAGGAGGAGACTGAAGGGGCAAGGTGTGGGGTAGAGAGATAGATTTGTGTGTCATCAACATAGAGATGGTACTTAAAGCCGTGGGAGTTTATCAAGTGACCAAGGGAGGAGGTGTAGATGGAGAAGAGAAGGGGTCCAAGGACAGAACCTTGAGGGACCCCTACAGAAAGAGAAAAAGAGCTTTAAAAGAGCTTTTATTAAAAATAAAAATGAAGGAACGCGATCATCAATTGCAAAAGATATCAGGACCAACCCCAAACATTCCTCCAATATATAAATAGTAGAAAGGTCCGGTCCAGCATGTAGGCCCTTTACAGAACCATCTAGAGGGGGTGACTGGGGACAAAGAGAAGGACAATGTATGAAATCCCAAAGGAGCATGGGGGGGCTCTTGTCCATAATGGGCGTGGTACTGACACCCCCCAGATGATCCACATTGGCTCACAATTGATATGATCCAGAAATATTTAGACAGAATAAAGGTGAATAAAGCCCGTGGACGGGATGGCATACACCCACGGGGCCTTACAGAATTCAGCTCTGTCCTTTCACAGCCATTGTTTGTCATTTTTAGGGACTCTTTAATGACTGGCATAGTACCACGGGATGGGTGTAAGGCCAATGTGGGGCCAATATTTAAAAAGGGGTCAAAATCAGTAATTATAGACCTGTTAGTGTAACTTCTATAGTTGGGAAGATACTGGAGAGTTTAATAAAAGACCACAGAGAGGAGAGTTCTTGCTGGAAACAAATATTGTAACCAACAGACAGCGTGGATTCATAAGGACAGAAGTTGTCACACAAATCTGATTTCTTTTCATGAGGAGGTGAGCAAAACTTTGGACAGAGGGGTGGTGGTGGACGTGGTATATTTGGACAGAGGGGTGGGGTGGGACGTGGTATACTTGGACAGAGGGGTGGCGAAGTGGACGTGGTATACTTGGACAGAGGGGTGGTGGTGGACGTGGTATACTTGGACAGAGGGTGGGGGTGGACGTGGTATACTTGGACAGAAAGGTGGTGGTGGACATGGTATACTTGGACAGAGGGGTGGCTGTGGACGCGGTATACTTGGACAGGGGGTGGCGGTGGACGTGGTATATTTGGACAGAAAGGGTGTGGTGGTGGACATGGTATACTTGGACAGAGGGGTGGGGGGGGGACGTGGTATACTTGGACAGAAAGGTGGTGGTGGGACATGGTATACTTGGACAGAGGGGTGGTGGACGTGGAATACTTGGACAGAAAGGTGGTGGTGGACATGGTATACTTGGACAGAGGGGTTGTGGTGGACGTGGATACTTGGACAGAACGAGTGGTGGTGCGACATGGTATATATTGGACAGAGGGGTGGCGGTGGACAATGGTATACTTGGGACAGAGGGGTAGTGTGTGGATGTGGTATAACTTGGACAGAGAGGTGGCGGTGGACGTGGTATACTTGGGACAGAGGGGTGGCGGTGGACGTGGTATACTTGGACAGAGGGGGTGGCGGTGGACGTGGTATACTTGGACATAGGGGTGGTGGTGGACGTGGTATACTTGGACAGAAGGGTGGTGGTGGACGTGGTTATACTTGGACAGAGGGATGGCGGTGGACGTGGTATTTCATACTTAGACAGATGAGTGGCCCTGTGGACGTGCTATACTTGGACAGAGGGTGTTGACGGTGGACGTGGTATACTACTTGGACAGAGGGGGTGGTGGTGGACGTGGTTATACTTGGACAGAGGGGTGGCGGTGGACGTGGTATTAGTAGAGTACCCCAAGGTTCAGTGTTGGGACCCTTACTATTAATATATTTATAAACAATATGGGGTCTGTCTGGTATTATAAATCCCATTCAGTCTTGCAGTATTTGCAGGTGGACGGCCACCAAAGGAGGTGTCCGAATTGGGAAATAACGTCCTGTACCAGGATGTCTCCAACTTACAAGCGAACCTCAAATGCTCGAGTGTAATGGGGGAATACTGGGGTCCAATGAGGGTTAATGGTGGTATAACTTGTAAGGGCTCTGCACTTAATCGGGGGCTAAGGAATAGCATCCATACATACTGGGTGGGGGGGAGATAAACACTGAGGGGGTGTCAGATGAACGAGTAGTATCTGGTGGGGGTTCGGTGGGTGGAAATGGTGGGGGACGATCGGATGCGGTCAGGGGGGGAGAAGGATCCTGAAGCGTTCAGTGGTGGAGAGGGGAAAGGGGATGATTGTTGGGAGGGGGGAG